ATATATATATATATAATATATGTGTGATAACTTTTTTTAAATTTCTTTTATTAACTACAAAAACGTTTCCACAAGAAAATGTTTTATACGATTTCTTGGTTTTACAATGATAAAATTTAATGTGTCTTTATAAATACAAATGTAAGTATTAACATTTGTTCCTATTTTCACTGCTTTTTGATTAGTTATTGCAAAGTGCTGTCAGTGGCGGATTTTTTTGGGGGGTGGGGTGAGGGAAAGGTTAGCCGGTCTGGGCCCTAAAATTTTCCCAAAAATAATTAAAAAAAATATGGAAAAATAGAAAATTATATTCAAATTTAAATCCGGGAGCGCCATTTCTGGCCATCTACAGGTGCCATGATCATACATTTTCTTGCCTCAACCCCAACCACGGTAGGGCTGAGGTGGGTTGACCCTATATTTGTGAAAGTCACTCCTTGGGCCCCCCTCTATTTCGAATTGCTGGATCCGCCACTGGCTGTATTTGTAGGATCTTGTGCAAGCGGTGGGGGAGGGGGTGGGGGCGATTGGGCCTGTACGTACAATTGGAGACGCTTTCAGGACAATCGGATTTATATTAACTTGATTTATAATATTCACAGTGTACATTGCCGTAGAAATGTATGCTCAACGAATATCACTGGACCTTTAAATCCATAGCGTTCATGAAATCGTCTAGCTTTGGAATTCCCTACAATAGTGAATAATACAATTTTGTCGTATCAACACTCGACATAGGATTCATAATTAGCATCCACCAGCAACTGTACTTTACCGAGCTGTCGATGCCGCCTGTTTACACGGAGCCTTTGCAACTCTGCAGTTGATTTCAAATCAGGTAGGCCTGCATCAACGATGGCCACAGATCCTATAATCTTATCACTGAGCTTAGGCCACTTTATAACAATCCCTTTCCTGTACATACTTCTTCAACAATCGGTACCGTTCGTACTTTCCACAAGAACACTGCGGTTGTAGTCGGTAATCTTCTTGAAAAACACAGATATACAGAAAACAATAACACAGAAGAAACAAGAATACAGTGTTCATCAGGGATTTAGTTAGAATAGAAACAACAAGGCATATGACATAAACAAACGACGTGATAGGAAAAAGCGGCAATATTAACGTGTACAAAGTGTCCCCATACAAGTGCCTTCCAATATACCATATTCGATCTGCAAAAGTTTCACTGCTGTTTCCGCTTGGGATTGTATAAGATCTCTGATATGGACATCACATAGTTGGAATTGTCGGCAAGAAATTTTCTGTGGAGGAAATATCCAAAGTATGTAATATTAATGATTTGTCTTGGGTAACATGATTCCTAAAGTATTAATAGTCCTTAAATCCTGCGTTTCTTTTAAAACAGTGTAGAAAATGGTAATCAATAGCAACTAGAACTGTCACTCGACAGAAAGATACCTCCTCTCTGTGCCTGAATTATACCGAACAACGCATGCCTATGATGGGCGATTCCATCAATTTTTTTTTTTATTGCTGAAGGGTAAATTTAAGGGAAAATATAATTTTCCGTGGCATTGACCTTGTCTTTTGACCCTTACTTTTCAAAATATATCACCTCTTTCTTAGATTATGTACTATTTCACTAATGTTTTTGATGATCCATTCTATACCGTAGTTTTTTTGCGTAATCTTGCTAACAAACGGAAAAACAGCGGTGAATACAGACTCACAGGTAAGGGTAATAAAAATTTAACAAAAAAATATAATAAAATGATTAAAAAAAACAATAACATTAATAATTATAATGAATAATAATGATAAGGATGACGACAATGATGATGATGACGTTAATGATAATAATAATGGTAACACTCTCAACATAGTGGCGTATCTAGGATTCTTCAAAATGTGGGGTGTGGCTAATGGGTGGGGGAGAGAAGGTGAAATGTAGGGATGTTATGAGGGGTCGCTGTTTCCTTCCCATAAATTGTGCGGTGAATTCAGTGACTGACCTCTAGACAAGGTGCACAATAATTGTGAAGTTATTATTGAATCTGTACTGAATTAATGGATGACTTTAAATCCTACGCTAAAGCAAACACTGCACAATGGCTAGACAGATGTTTTGCATGGACGCTATTGTCCACAAAATACAATAGAAGGTAAATATCGAATAAGAACATTTAATATCGACTAGTCCTACTATATAGCATGCATAGCTACGAACTACGGACTGATAATCGTTACTGGACACTGAGTGCACTCGACTGAGCGACCACCTCCACTACAATACATTATACATTAGTAATGGGATTTTTCCATGTAGGCCTACTTTTATTCTAAAATTTAATATCCTAATCCTTCCGTTAAAGAACGCAGTACACTCTTCGGAAAAGTAGGGGATTGTCTCCCGGTGTACGGTACTGTCCAATCACCACCAGAAGGACTCCACTGGAAATAAGTCTTCTTCTACACTTTCGTGGGCTATCCTTGGTGTTTTCACCGAATAAATCCAAATCCAAATCCAAATCCACCCCCTGTGACCATGTTACTATCATACCTCCATGCTGTGACGTAGTAAAATGCGTTCCAAATAATAGTAATCAGTTCAAACACTCTCTTCTTTGCATAAGCTGCTCTTGCCCTTCTACACAAGCAAGTTGTTCATAGCAGCTCTCACACTGGTCGGCGTCGGTCGTATATATAGGTCGTGATAGTGTGAGAGTTGCTTTAGATAAATGACTTTATAAGACCGTCTAAGTGATAAAGCCGACTTTTTCTTCGAGAAGTTAAGACTACCAGTTAAGACCGTTTTATAGCAATACGCCCCTGGGCTCATGGGCTTCTTTCCCCGATGGGATTTTTTTCGAGACTACTTTTGCAAACTAAATAGGGGGATTTTTTTTTTCTCTGCGACTAATTTGTTTTCTTTTCCGACGGGGACGGGGGTTGAGCTCTCCCCGACGGGAGAGGGGATGGCACCATTGCACTACTGGCATTATATTATGTCGTAATTGATTCGGACAATAACAGAGTAAATAGTAATATTAATAACAAAAGCAGCAGCATTACAACAACAACAACAACAGATATAACAATAACCAAAGGATCCACTGATTATTCGCAAAATAGAATATGAGTATGGTGACTCCGAAGAACGTCAGGCCATAATTGATTAATGTTAACGACTCGACACAAGAATGATAATTTTACAAAAACAACTACCGTACACTACTACTAAAATAATAATAATGTAATAATAATAATAATAATAATAATAATAATAATAATAATAATAATAATACGATTGACACTAATTTATTCATTACCTCCGTAATTATTAATCCATACATATGGTAGCGTTTCTTATTGAACTACTTATAAATGCGAATCTGCCATCTGTAAACGTACACTACACTGCGCATGATCAGTCAGGAACAAAGCCTGCAATTACCGTATACAGTACGTTTTAGTGCATTGCATCAAAAAACTCGAAATGTTAATCAGTAAATATTGTCTGCGTACAACGTGAATAAATTACTTCGTTAATTTATAAGCACTGTTTGGGTGACAGAAACCAAACGTATTAAGGTGTTTGATGACCTGGGAGATACAATAGTATACTACACTGCGTATACCACTGCGTGAATACTGTGACATCAAGCTATAGGTAAGGCATTAAAGTTGCTGTATTTATTTTCCAGGGCTTATTATGATTATTATTATTATTATTATTATTATTATTATTATTATTATTATTATTATTATTATTATTATTTAAAAAAATTATATTCATGAAATTGTATATTCGAGATGTGGGTATAACGGATTGTGATTTCGTCGATGAGTGCTAATACCATACCGGTAGTCTTTGAGTGCTACAGTAATGTTGTACAGAAAGGGATCAGCAATGGCAGCACATTTAAATCAAGAACAAGGGGTATGACATCGGTCACATCATCCGTGGCGGCGACCTAAGGAAATTATTCAAGGCTCAATTTGAGAAGGACAATGAAGAGGCCAATCATCAACATCTTGAGCCGGTGGCATAGCAGCGGAGCTACTGACAGTATCAACACTATCTTCTTTTGACATCGGAAAGTTAATGTGCAGTCATTCGTATGGCCACCGCAGGGCGATTCGTGCAACTGATGGAGGAGGTCCCATTTACTAGTCTGTTTCTTGGATTGGCACATTATAAAATATTCCGCCTACCTTTAATATTTAGCGCATTCATGATGTTTGCGTCCAGTCATTTTCATGATTTTTTTTAACGAATTACGATACAGACCAGTCCTGAGTCTCTAAATGAAACAGTTTCAAATCCTCACAGATAATTAAAAAATTAGCTTTAAGAGTCACCACTCTATAAAAACACAAATATTGTGTAAATAAATTAAAAGATTAATATATTACAGTATTATCATAGTGCAAAATTCCTTCTCATTGCGCTGAAACGCCGATTGGTAGATTTACTAACAGATGAAAAGATTCACATAGTGTCATGCAATTGTTCGTTTTGCGGAAAAGTGTGAATCCGTCCAAATTTGTTGGTGGAATTATGTCCACATAATATGTTCTCGCATACAACGCATGATCGTTGTTCTATGGGGAATAAATCAATAATAGATCTCTCTCTATTTGACAGGTCGATCATCTAACTGTCTATTCTACATGAATTTCGGTAAATCTCACATATGTTCACTCGATACGAAACGGCCAATGGCGGCCGGTGCCAGCTGGGGGACGGAAAGTCAGGGGAAAAATTGCATTGACATTTCACCACAAAATTTAACCACCTCTTCTTCATTAATTAGTTTTTGCATAATCCTTATCAATATTAATTTTTTATTCAAATTTCTTTGACCTTGACCATTTAATTCAAAATGTAAATCACTTATTCCTTAGACCCATTATGTACCACTACACTAAATTTTATATATTCATTCATTAGATTTTGCGTAATCAGGCTAACAGAAAAACAGCGGTGAATACATAACCTCCTTTGAGGTAATTAACTGTTTTCTCTCCGCGTGCGTGCGTCTTCTTTCATTAATCAACAGCATTGATACACAGAAAGAAGCAGAGCTCATTAATAAACATGAAGCAAATAGGCCTACATATGTCCTTTTCACAAACCAGGAATACTATTAGACCGTTTATTAATAATTATAGCAAAAAGACGCACGCAAAGAGTATATA